CAGAAAGTTACAAGCATCTGAAAACAGGGATTGACAATAGGTCCTGTGCTGCATTCCTCATGGATACATTCACTCCCAGTCCCACATAGTTATCAAGTTAGTAGGACACTGAACTTTCCAGCTCAGCTTTAACTCCCCCTCCCATTTGTGAAGACAGAACTTTGTTAATTCAGTGTCTGATTCTAGATGACACATCAATAACTGCTGAAATATTTTTTAAAATTCTGGGCAATGGCAAAGCGGGCTGCGCGTGGAGAATGGACTACAATGGGGAGATGCTAGCACAGGTGGGAGGGAGATGGCGGGATTGACTGCTCTGCTCTGGTTCCGCAGGGTATAACGCCTGGAGGCAATTCTGTGGGCTCTCACAGCCTCGCAACTTAGCTGAACTCTCTGAAGTGCTGAGAAATCCTGAGCTGGCCAGGAAGTTCATGGACCTGTACGGGACACCAGACAATATCGACATCTGGATTGGGGCTATGGCGGAGCCGTTTGTTCCCAATGGCAGAGTGGGACCTCTCCTGGCTTGCATCATTGGATCTCAGTTCAGGAAATTGCGAGATGGGGACAGGTAGGCTGACTGGAAAGTGAATCTCCACTTCCATTTTATTTACAAAAGAACAATTGGCAGTTGGTGTCATGTGCTGTTCCAGTCCCTCACCGATGGGCTTGCTTGGTGTTCCAAATGCCACGGCCCAATACCGGAGTTTCATTCACAGTTATTAAAGGGGCGCCCCTGTGGGAAGGGCAGTTGATTAACCCCTACGTGGCCAGACAGCTCCACTCACTGGTGCATGAATGGTCTGTAGAGGGCTCTGAAGAAAGGTGAAACATTCCTTAAATCTCTTTTAAAGGTGGTAATTTCTGGGGTCATTTATCCTGTGTGTATGAATCCGGCCTGCTTCAAACCAACATGAAAAGGCAAACACTGTCAATTTTAATTTCTGTTTCGTATATTGCCACTTTTAAAACATTTCTTAGAAATGCAGGTTTAATTTGACTGTTAACGTTGCAGCGGAGTTTTCCTTTTATCAACGTCACCACCATTCTCCCATAATTTATGCCCTGCAAAAACACTACATTAAGAAAAGTTATGCAGTTTGCAAAGTCGAGCACTCAGAAGCACTCAGAAATGCCAGAAATAAGGCTGCCTGCGATCTGAATTCGGCACCCTTGTGCGTGTGCATTTTGACACAGTCTTTTTAATGACACGATTGTGTGTTGTCAGGGTTCTGGGAAAAACACCACAGGACGGACAGTGCTCCAGGAATGAGGCAGCTGTTCAATATTTCGTTTTATCCCTATTGTTCAGCGGGTGGCCCCTGCCGTGTTCACCTCACATCATCCAAACCTTGCACTGAATACAGAATTAGTCACTTCTTCATGGGCAGTTCCAGGGCACTTACCATAGTATCACCAATGTATCTTCACAACACCTCAGTGAGGTAGGAAGGTGTTGTGGGCCCCATTTGACAGACGGGCGCAGAGCTAGTAACTCCGTAACTTACAGGCGTTTGTTTCTCCTGCTAAATTTCACATCCAAGCCACAAACCCTTGGGAGCACTAGAGCTCTTCAAAGAAATGGCAGGAAAAATTGGCTAATGTGGGCAACACTACCTCTTTCCCTCACCCTGTTCTCAAGAGGAGCCAAACCATTTTTGCTGAAACACAGCAGAAAAATCCAGCCTGAGGCAGAGACCAAGCCAGGTGAATCTCAGCCTGCAGGGTTCAGAGCTGGCAAAGTAACAAGTGATAAACCAGAGGGACCTGAGCTGGGCCAGCTTCCTCCCCTCCCTCCCTCGTCCCCTCTGCCACAGGCTTGATGGTGGGGGGATAAGTTATTGTCTCCCCGCCTGAGAGTTGGGGGAGGGGAAGTGTCCCATTTCCCCCTCCCCTCAGATGACCCTTATACTAGCACGTCTAGCACTGCAGAGAGACGGGGTCCCAGAAAGGCCCCCAGTATCACACAGTTCAAGCCAGCTTACCCCCTACACATGCCTGCACCCTCTCCAGTAGCAGGAGCCCCACAAGGTCTCTGCACTTCGGTCACCCGGGTTCCTCTCAGGCCGGGTGCACCTAGGCCTCTTTCTCCATTTCCTTTGGCCAGGAAGACGGTGCTGGGTTCCTGGCGGCTGCCTCGGCTGGCAGGGTAGTGCTCCTTCCCTCAGGTAGGGAGCAGCTAGCGCCTGCCTTTTCGCCAAACTGAGCCAGGCTCCCTCCTTTTCTCTCCCCTCCAGGCCTGGCCTTGGCTGCAGGTATAACAGGGCAGGGCTAGGCTCTCTTTAACCCCTTTCGTGCTGGTGGGCAGTTTCTCTGCTTGTCCACATTTGTATCTCTTCCAAGTCATTGTGCAGCCCTGCCTAGCCCATGGCACACCATCCAAGCGCTGGGCGGAAGACAGAAGAGTGTATTCCAGGAACTCGCCCTGTTTCAGGGAGGCATTAGCCCATTTTACTGACAGGCCCAGAGGAGCTGGGGCCATGATCTGACTGGGCTGGTGAGCACCTGCAGGCAGTTCTACGGCTAGTGAAGGGCACAGTCCAGGGGGCTGGAGTGCTGGACTCTAGGAGCTGCCTCTCCTCCTTGCTCTGTGAGGCTGGTGTACGGGGGAGCAGATTCTCAGCACTCCCCATGCTCCATGAGGGAGGGGGGATCCTTGCCATGCTGGTAGCGCAGCTCCTGCTACTGGAGTGAGCCAGGGGTCGTTTGTGGACTAAACAGTACGTGATCATTCAATTAAGGTCTCTAACAGCCCATACGCACAAGAGGGCAGAGTTAAGATTGCGCAGGCAACCTTAATTCCGGGATTTCCTAAATTTGGATCAATTCATAGATGTTAAGGCCAGAAGGGACCATGGTGATCATCTAGTCCAGTGACTCTCAAACGTTTGTACTGGTGACCCCTTTCTCATGGCAAGACTCTGAGCGCGACCCCCCCCTTATGAATTAAAAACACTTTTTTATATATTTAACAGCATTATAAATGCTGTAGGAAATGCGGGGTTTGGGGTGGAAGCTGACAGCTTGTGACACCCCCCCCCCCGTAATGACCTTGTAACCCCCTGAGGGGTCCCGACCCCCAGGTTGAGAACCCTTGATCTAGTCTGAGCTCCTGCACAGCGCAGGCCAGAGAACATCTGTGATTCCCACAGAAGCTTTTTAGCCCGTGACTTTGCAATCGAAAGTTCTTTTCATTTTCAGTAGAACGTATCTGTATAGAATCTTCACAGTCTTTCTCTAGAAAGCTTGAAGGCATTTTGGCTATAGGAGATTTATTAACATTAGAAAAACACTTTTTTTTTTAAACTACCGGGTGAAATTGTGGCCCCACTGCAGCTGGTGGGAGTTTTGCTGCTGCCTACAACGAGTCCCCGATGTCCCACACCACCACGTGTATTTCCATTTCACAGGCAAGGCCACTTTTCATATCAATGGAGACAAAACAAATCATGACCCCCCAGGACTAAATTCATTCCCAAGAAGGATAAACACGGGCTGTAACACTGCCGCTTTTCTGCTTCTTTGTAGATTCTGGTGGGAGAATCCCGGGGTTTTCACTCCACAGCAGCGCCAGGCCCTGAGCAGCAGTTCATTGCCGCGGGTTCTCTGTGATAACACTCGCATTAGAGAGGTGCCCAGGGACGTGTTCAAGGTCAACCGCTATCCCGAGGACTTTGTGAACTGCAGAATGATCGACAGTATTGACTTGTCACCTTGGAGACAACGCAGTAACTAGGGAGTGGAAGGTACAGAATGGACCCCATGCCCAGAGAAACACACACAACTGGGCCCATGTGGAGGCTTCTCCTCCCCAGCATTCCCTGGCCTTTCCTCCCCAGATTAACCCCAATCCCCAAACAAACTCACTCTTCCAGCCACCCTTCCTCCAACAGATCCTTCCTCCCAATCCCCCACCTTGATCTTCCCCTCTGCCCCAGAGGGTCCCGCTTGTCTTCACTATGACATGAGGGCATGTTAGCACTGCTTGGCGGACTTGTGTTAACCAACACGCTGGCAAATACACCCACTGCAAAGTTGGTTTTAACGCCGTGTTAGTTAACACAACTAGTTCAGGGCCATGTTCTGTCGCACTCTGATTTTCTAGTGAACACAAGCCCATTGACTCTCTTGTCCCTAAGGCTCTGTCACTGCCTGGCCCTGCTACCAATGACCCGGCCTGCACCCACCCTGCTCACAGACCGTAGGCTGGATCCAACTGCACTCAAGACAGTGGGAGGCTTTCCATTGGAGTTGGACTGGGAACCCTAGATCCCTAGCTTGGGATGGCAGCGGATCATATTCTGACAGCGCTGTACATAGCTCTGTACTCGTACAGTTATCTTCCTAAGAGACACAGACGCATCCACTCATCCCACTTGCTGGACACGTGCAGGTTTGACTAACTTTTCCTTAGGAAGGTTTCTCAGGTCCAGGATTGGCTTTCTGGAGAGAGAGACCCAGCCTTACCCCAGAATAGTTTGCTCAGGAGCAAGGGCTTGGGTCTTCCACATCCCAGGGAAGTGCTCTAACCACTAGGCTATAGAGTCACTCTCTTTCAATGACTCCTGTTGGAGCTGTTCTATTTTATATTGAAAAAATTACATGTTTATTGCTCCAGAGAGGCTGATTCTATTGGCTGGTGGTCAGGGTACTCACCTGGGATGTGCAAGATCCAAGCGCCTACTGCAAATCAGGAACATGAACCCGGGGTGTTTTCATCCCACGTGAGTGCCCTAACCACCAGGCTACTGGCTATCCTGGGGTGGGCAGGGGCTTGCACTCATATTTGGGCGTGGGGGATTTTGAAAGGCCTCAGTTTTGTTTTGAATTAGAACCAAACAAATTAGAGACGTCATTTTTTCCCAAACTGGAATTGCTGTTTCTGGCCAGCCCTAGTGTGCCAGTGGAGTTCAGGTGTCAGGGGAGCCCTGGGTGCAGCAGGGTGACTGATCTCTCAGGGAGCCAGGACCAGTGCCATGCAGGGTCTTGAAAAATCAGCACCCCGTGGACCTGGGCTCTGAACTGAATGGGGAGCCAGGGCAGAGAACGGCATGTTGGGGTGATGTGTTCCCAGGGTCCTGTGTTGCTGAGCGACCAGGTTGCTGTGTTTTGAACAAGCTGTTTTTCCTCAGGGCTTGTGCTTCCCTCCTAGATAAAAGGAACTGCAATACCCAGCTTAAGTGTCACAGTGCGCAGCGCACTGGGACCAGCTCTGCCTTTTCTAACACCGGGCACAAGCGGGCCAGCCACAGACAGCAGCGAGCTTTTTGCTTTGTTGCTGTTGCTACATAAATCTAAGAGGAGCCCGGGCTGTGGACCAGAGGGGCAGTGTGAGGGCAGATGGCTGGGACTGTGACAGAGAAGGAGTGCTTCTCCTTTCCCACACGGATCAGCTTCAGCCAGCTGCTCTTCATGCAGGTGCTGAGCTCAGAAGGCCGTGAGAACCTCTCATGGGGCAAGTCCACCCCATTCCCCTTTGGGGCGGGGAAAAGGGCGTTATAGCCGTACGGCTAAGTCCACCTGAGCACCCTTAGCCTCAGGCCGTACAACCTAATAGCCAGGGTCAATACAGCTGCCCTCTCTCGCATGGCATTAGGGCCTAATGGTCACGGGGGTGGAGGGATGGGCCATCACCAAACAGGGGTGGTGGCTGGGGTAGGGAGTCCCAGACCCTCTTTACTCCACCAGGTCCCAGCCCAGGGCCCTGTCAGTGACAAGTGTATTCACCATCGGGTCAGCGGGGATCTGACCAAAACATGCTGACTTAGTGCCCAGTCATAGAATCATAGAATCTCACGGTTGGAAGAGCCCTCAGGAGGTATCTAGTCCCACCCCCTGCTCAAAGCAGGACCAACCCCAACCCCAACTAAATCATCCCAGCCAGGGCTTTGTCAAGCCTGACCTTAAAAACCTCTAAGGATGGAGATTCCACCACCTCCCTAGGTAACCCGTTCCAGTGCTTCACCACCCTCCCTAGTGAAATAGGCTTTCCTAATATCCAACCTAGACCTCCCCCACTGCAACTTGAGACCATCGCTTCTTGTTCTGTCATCTGCCACCATTGAGAACAGCCGAGCTCCATCCACTTTGGAACCCCCCTTCAGGTAGTTGAAGGCTGCGATCAAATCCCCCCTCACTCTTCTCTTCTGCAGACTAAATAACCCCAGTTCCCTCAACTTCTTCTCATAAGTCATGTACCCCATCCCCCTAATCATTTTCATTGCCCTCCACTGGACTCTCTCCAATTTATCAACATCCTTTCTATAGTGTGGGGCCCAAAACTGGACGCAATACTCCAGATGTGGCCTCAGCAGTGCCGATAGAGGAGAAACAAAGGCACACTGTTGATTCATATCCAGCTTCTCATCCACTGTAATCCCCAGGTCCTTTTCTGCAGAACTGCTGCTTAGTCAGTCAGTTCCCAACATGTAGCAGTGCATGGGATTCTTCCGTCCTAAGTGCAGAACTCTGCACTTGTCCTTGTTGAACCCCATCAGACTTCTTTTGGCTCAATCCTCCAATTTATCTAGGTCCTCTAGACTCTAGACCCTATCCCTACCCTCCAGAGAATCTACCTCTCCCCTCAGCTTAGTGTCTTATGTGAAATAGCTGAGGGCCCAATCCATCCCATCATCCAGATCATTCATGAAGATGTTGAACAAAACCGGCCCCAGGACCTGGGGCACTGTTCTTGATACCGGCTGCCAACTAGACATTAAGGCATTGATCACTACCCATTGAGCCCGATGATCTAGCCACTTTCTATCCACCTTATAGTCCATTCATCCAATCCATACTTTTTTAATTTGCTGGCAAGAATACTATGGGAGACCATATCAAAAGCTTTGCTAAAGTCAAGATATATCATGTCCACTGTTTTCCCTATATCCACAGCTCCAGTTATGTCATCATAGAAGGCAATCAGGTTGGTCAGGCATGACTTGCCCTTGGTGAATCCATGTTGACTGTTCCTGATCACCTTCCTCTCCTCCAAGTGCTTCAAAATGGATTCTGTGAGGACCTGCTCCATGATTTTGCTGGGGACTGAAGTGAGACTGACCGGTTTGTAGTTCCCCGGGTTCTCTTTCTTCCCTTTTTTTAAAGATGGACACTATATTTGTCTTTTTCCAATCGTCTGGGACCTCTCCTGATCCCCACAAGTTTTCAAAGATAACGGCCAATGGCTCTACAATCACATCAGCCAACTCCCTCAGCATCCTCAGATGCATTAGATTTGGACCCATGGACTTGTGCATGTCTAGCTTTTCTAAACAGTCTTTAACCTCTTCTTTCACCACTGAGGGCTGCTCACCTCCTCCCCATACTGTGTTGTCCAGTGCAGCACTCTGGGAGCTCACCTTGTCTGGGAAGACCGAGGCAAAAAAAAAGCATTGCGTACTTCAGCTTTTTCCACATCATCTATCACTAGGTTGCCTCCCCCACTTTCTCTGACCTTCTTCTTTTTGCTAATAGACCTGTAGAAACCCTTCTTGTTACCCTTCACATCCCTTGCTAGCTGCAACTCCAATCGTGCTTTGGCCTTCCTGATTACACCCCTGCATGCTCTAGCAATATTTTTATACTCCTCCCTAGTCATCTGTCCAAGTTTCCACTTCTTGTAAGCTTCCTTTTTGTGTTAAAGCTCACCGAAGGTTTCACTGTTAAGCCAAGCTGGTCACTTGTCATATTATTCTTTCTGCACATTGGGATGGTTTGTTCCTGCACCCTCAATAAAGCTTCTTTAAAATACAGCCAGCTCTCCTGGACTCCTTTCCCCCCCATATTAGCCTCCCAGGGGATCCTGCCCATCAGTTCCCTAAGAGAGTCAAAGTCTGCTTTGCTAAAGTCCAGGGTCTGTATCATGGGCGCCAACTTTAGACAGCGCTGGTGGGTGCTCGCGACCCCGGCCCCGCCCCAACTCCACCCCCGGCCACGCTCCCATTCCAGCCCTTCCCCAAATCCCCACCCCCGTCTCCTGCCCCAGGCATGCTGCATTTCCCCTCCACCCGCCCCCCCCCCCAGGCTTGCAAGCCTGGGAAGGAGGGGGGAGAAGCAGCAGAGCACCCACCGGCAGCTCCCCGCCCCCGGCCCCAGCTGACCTCCACCTCCTGAGGTGCCACCGCCACCACTACGCTTTTCCTCCCTCCCAGGCTTGCCGCGCACCAGCTCTTTGACGCGTGGCAAGCCTGGGAGGGAGAGGGGGAAATGGAGCGGCGGCACCTCGGGGAAGGGGGAGGGGGCGGAGTTGAGCTGGGCGGCCCCGCCTCTGCCTCCTCCCCCTCCCCCAAGGCACCGCCACTGCGCTTCCCCCCCCGCCTGGCTTGGCACGCATCAAACAGCTGGTGCGCAGCAAGCCTGGGAGGGAGGAAAAGTGGATTGGCGGTGGTGCCTCGGGAGGCGGACGTGAGCTGGGATTGGGGACTGGGTGGGCGGGGAGCTTCCGAGCACCCACCAATTTTTCCCCGTGGGTGCTCCAGCCCCGGAGCACCCACGGAGTTGGCGCCTATGGTCCGTATTCTCCTTTCTTCCTTTTGTCAGAATCCTGAACTCAACCATCGCATGGTCACTGCTGCCCAGGTTGCCACCCACGTCTACTTCCCCTACCAATTCTTCCCAGTTTGTGAGCGGCAGGTCAAGAGGACCATGACCCTTAGTTGGTTCCTCCAGCACTTGCACCCAGGAAGTTGTCCCAAACTTCCTGGATTGTCTGTGCACTGCTGTATTGTTCTCCCAGCAGATATCAGAGTGATTGAAGTGCCCCATGAGAACCAGGGCCTGTGATCTGGAAACTTCAGTTAGTTGTCCAAAGAAAGCCTCGTCTACCTCATCCCCCTACCTCATCTGCCCAGCACTACATCACCCTTTTTGCTCTTGCCTCTAAGCTTAACCCAAAGACTCTAAACAGGTTTATCTGAAGTTTCATACTGGAGCTCTGAGCACTCATACTCCTCTCTTACATACAATGCAACACCCCCACCTTTTCTGCCCTGCCTGTCCTTCCTGAACAGTTTATATCCATCCATGACAGTGCTCCAGTCATGTGAACTGTCCCACTAAGCAGGGACAGTGCAAGGATATTTTGCGCCCTAGGCGAAACTTCCACCTTGCGCCCCCCTCCGCCCCCCCGCCCCTTGCACATCAGTTCATTGGGGGCAAAGCCCAACGAGCGTTTATAGACCCCAGGGGCCAGCCGTGCCCAGGGGCTGCTCCCCAGACCAGGTTCCCCCCCCCCGCCCCCTGAACTCCCCTGGAGGGTGCACAGTCCCCCCGTGAGCCCACCCCACCTCTGTGCCCCCTGCCCCGAGTCCGCTCACTGGCTTTGCCAGGCTTGGGCTGCTGTAGCAGCTCGGCAGGGAGGAGCCACCTTCCGGAGACACCGGAGAGCCAGAGCGTCGGCTTGCGGCGGCGGTGAGCCCCAGCCATGGAGGAGCCGGTGCGGCACAGGGGGGCAGCAGCCCTGCAAAGGCAGCGGCACCGCTAGTGGGGAGCAGCCATGCCCCCACCCCTCCTGCTCAGGCTGCACCCACGCGCCCCTAGGGTTACCATATTTCAACAATCAAAAAAGAGTAGGGGGGGAAGAGAGCCCCTCCCTGCCCCCATCCACTCCCTCCCACTTCCCACCCCCTGACTGCCCCACTCAGAACCCCAAACCCCTCCCCGCTCCTTGTCCCCTGACTGCCCCAC